TGCGTTTGTGTTCCAGTGGTGATCTCGTTTATAGGCAAAGCTGAAAGTAGGCCACAGAATGTCGTACAGCACAGTACAGAAAGGCCTGCCATCACCGTATCGAAGGCCAGTACTGCCACCCCAACGGCCTTTAGCATTGTTCAGCCGACTTCCTTCACAGCAAAACCGGCAATAACAACAGCACAGCCAGATGATAGAAACGTGAGTCATTATTTTTCGAGGTTGTCAGCAAAAAAGACCTTTTGCTGACCGTTTTCCCACAACTGCCATTAGACGGGTCGGCTCCACCAAATGGAGAGGTTCTCGCTACTCGTCGAGCCTGGCGCTGCAAGCCAGAATTGTTACGTATCCATTATAACTACACAAGATGGCCACTGTTCACACTAGTTTGGCTACCACTTTTTGTTGAAAACACGAACACACACTGCCCCTATCCAGAGCGACGATGTTTGTGTGCGCTATACATATATATAGCATGTTTTACTCTGAGTTTGTCTAAAAGAAAGAACAGATGGGGTCATATCTGGTTTTCTCGATTGCGTATGACTCAGTTATTTTGGTTTCTCACTGTCTCTTACTTAGGGACCTAAGAGAAACCGCGCATGAACATCAAATAGCAGACCGCCGTCAACGAAATAGATGTCTTCAAATTCGCGTACTTCGTGCACATATCTGAGTCGTCTGCCAGGCACTTTGTGCGTACTTTTTTTTCTGCGTCGTTTTCGCTATCGTTGTATCGTAGTTCAAGCATTTTAGTGGCTACAACTTTTGTCGATATTGTGCTATAGTGGAAACGGCTGACCTACTGTTTCAGACAAGACAGCCAGTTATTACTTATACCAACGTATATATCTATATATATATAAAACATGTATAAGCAGGCAGGCCGCACTAGCGAGAGTATTTAATCGCCAATTGGCTCAATCGTAAAGTTGTTTCTAACTATAAAAAACACTTTTATTACGACGTACATATTTCAGGTAAGTAGGCTTTTAATGGCCTGATAATATACTTTTTTTCGGGAGTGCCAACCTAACATCACATTGACTGATCCATAAACATACTCTCATCTGACGCTCCAAATGCTTTTATTTATGAATAATTCTATTTAACCGACTAAAGAGATAAAAAATATCTAGTCGGATCAGGTGAAATAGATGTCTGTCTTCATTTTTTCTAAATGAACATTTCACCGGTCGACCATAGGATACTACATATTATTCAATAGTATATGTAAAATGTAACCAAGCTTCAAAAGCAAGCACAAAATGAACGATGTTCTAAATTTCTTCGAAGACAGATATTATATTGTGTCCATTATGGCGACCGGGAGTTCTGCAGCAATGATAGCCGCTCTAACTCCTAAATTATTCATTATTATTCGGCACTGGAAAATTATGTGAGGTGACACAGCCCTCAAAATCAGGTTGCGGGACTTAAGCCATTCATATGGTTCTGAGTGAAGTTACCTCGTTCATGCATTGAGTAAACGAGTATGATCAAGAGTGGCCCCGGAAAAACAGATTTATCCCTAGGTTTAAGAACACATAATGGGCGTATAGTCTTTCTTGCACTATAAGCGATAACATAGTTGGAATATTTAAGCGAACTTTCAGCATTGAAATAATCGGTTGTGTTTCAAGTGTTTGACTTACGGCAGTTTCAGCATTACTACTTGTGTACAACTAACGTATCCAATACCTTATAGACAGAGTCTAAATAAAACTAAGGGCAAGATTCTAAATAAAACTGAGGGCAAGATTCTAACTAAAACTGAGGGCAAGATTCTAAATAAAACGTAGCTTAACTAAACCAAGTTAACAAACCAGTTCTCTTTTTTTTTCTTTCTCCCATTTACACTCTAAGGAGCTCTCGTGCGTTCAGGACATGCGTAAAGCGGAAACAGTCAAGCTAAACCCTTATTATGATCGTTCGCCGACAGCATTACGACTAATTCCACATTTTTTTATTTATAGCGGCTTTTACCTTGCAACTCCACACCTGTCCCCCATACTGAACGACAGTCCGCGCCCCATCTGCTATTATTATTCTTTATTTTACAATCACACACTCGGCAAGCTAGACGTATGTACATGAGCATAAACCTGCACAATGTATTATACTGTGGTGTATCTTCTATTGTATTATTCGGTAATACTAGTTTTTCTTCCCCTCGGTCGACATTGCACAGGTATTTATACCACTACTACGAATGAGTCGTCGTTGTCGGTACTGCTGATGCTGTTGCAGCCTTGCGGGAGGCAATAATATTTTGTTCTGCCGTTCCTGCTACCACCGGCATGCTGGCTTTTCCGTTCGTCGTCCACGTAGTCGCTTCAAGGCTATCCTAGCGACAGCAGTGTACTGCTTTTTCCTCCTCCCGAGGGAAATGTTCTCTCTCTCTCTCTCCTTCTTTCTCGAACTTTTTTGTTGTTCTCCCCTCATTCTCCTCCTCCTCGACCTGTCTCCCCTTCGTGTCTCCCCATCTGATTGTTGTTGTCGTCGTTTTCTTGCACAGACCGACCAGCTGAAACAGTGAGGTCCACGCCCACTGACGACCACTCTTTATTTCCCGCGAGTGACGCCCCGTCGTCTCCCCATCGCGAGTGTTTAATTGTCGCCCTGGTACACGGCCCACAGAAAAGACAGACTAGCTATCTTGCTCACAAGCTGACCTGTCCTGGGCCATACGGCTGCGAGTCCGCCATGCGGCCAGTCCCCGTCGTGTGTCCTGCCGCGGCAGTCTGCCTTGCTGCATACTAGCTGCAACCTCTCCCGCCCTTCCCTCTTTGCCCTGTTCAGTTTTTAGCGGTGCCGTAGCGCTCGTGAATTGGGTTTCATCAATAAATATCACAGAAGCTGCTTATGGATGCAGAGAACGCGCCGATATCTGCACTTGGCCTGCCTGATGAAGCGTTGCAGTTGTTCTCGCTTGCCTGCCTCAGCCAGCAGGGATTGACCGACATTCGCGTGATGCTCACCGCCGCGAGCCCCACAGCTACCTCTTGGTCGGAATTTTGATAACCTTGAGAAGCACAAGTATCACGGCTGATGATGGAGGTAGCGACCGCAGCAGAGAAACATTTCTGACCGTGGTCGCAACGCGGACATTTAGGCGATGTGCGTGTGCCTGTGTAACATGGCGACTAGACGGCACGTCACCAGTTTTTGGGTTAATGTCTGTCGGCCGCAACAAGTGTCAAGACGAAGTGTAAAAAGTGGAATATAGTCGATATGCGTGTAGAGCGTATTTATTTAGCTGCAAAAGGGACACGAGCTATAGTCGAGTACGATGCAGGCGTTAGCAATGATAGTACGTAGGTTCGATTCTTTGAAATTATAATAGCTCGAGAACCCTCTTTGAAATGTATCTTCATACACAGACGCGCTCGTTTGTACCTCACTTTACGACTCACATGCGATGGTGGCTAATCGTCATGAAAGCAGTATATCGTTAGGTTAGCTGAATATGGATGTTCGTCTTTGTCGATGTTCATCGCCATTGACGGAATGCCAAAAAACAGCAGCGATAGTGTGTGGCAAAGCACTAAGTGCTTCGGCTTGGGTAGAAAGGTACCTTCTCTGGGAAGCCGGCCACTAGCGCGAGTCGAGGAGGGGGCAGCGCAGCAAGAACGCTTTGGGACCGGGTGCATAATTTAATGATGTCCCTGGCTCTCCGTTATCTCGCAGATATTCTCTCCCATCCCATTTCACCCTTCTTTAACGACGGGTGCGAAACATAGCAAAGGTAGGCGCGTAATACGCTGCTGCGTCGACATCAAATCCGCTGTCGCTATTGCGACCAGTGCTCGCGCTGCAGTTATGAGCTGGCGTGTGCTTTCCGCCTACCTGCCGTGCCTCCGACGGCCTCTATAAACGCTCACTGCATTATCCATACTATCATCGTTGCCATCACGGGAAGCTAAAGTTTTGGTGGTACTAATAACTATTTGCGCCTTTGTTAATACAGGAAGCACCCCGCTTGCACTTCCACCGGCGCATGACTTCGTGAGAACGTCATTCGTCCATCCATGAACATGATCAACATGGGGTGGTGATACTAATGCTGCGTCGTCGTAGTGTTAGGTATATGCTCCCAGTTGTGTAACTGTTATGTAGACGATCAGCAAAATCTGTTGTATTGAACTTCTTGCAAGTTTCCAGTGGATATAGGTACCAACGATCTCGATGGTCTGGGTCAGCTATTTGAGGTGCTACCCTCTCATAAAAGATGATAACTAGTATTTATTGGCATTTGACGAGCTATCTCAAATATACTCGATAACCAACAAGCGTAGTCTGATGTTGGTGTACGAAAACGATAGCCTAACTAAATAAGCCAGAGTCTGTCTAGCTGCTGTCCCATAATGCAAAGTGCTCAACTATAACTCGATGCACATACAGAAACAAGTTTAATCAACTTCTACCTGCCAGCCAAATGAGAAATCAACTGCTATCTTCGGTACATAGAATCAACGGAGATAAACAGACGTGTGGAAAGAAAGGTGGAGTGAGGTAAAGTCACTTTAGGCGCTTCTTGGGCCAAACGATCAACTTTCTGTATCCAAGAGAAAACTGCATTTGCTAAAAAGTTTCAGCTTTTAAGGTTATCGGAACATTATCAATTTTATGCCATAGGAGGCATTTTCGTTGTGCACAGATTGAGCCATTCTTGATCCCACCGTACAGCATCGTGAGTGGATGTTAAGGTAATAGCATTACATTTACAACCTTGCCGCTGAAATGAGGCAAACGCTTTATATATTCATTTGCAAGGTTTGTTTTTGAGGTATTGTTTTAGGTTTACGCTTACTTAATTAAACTAAGCCAAATATCACGCTACAGAAGTCCGGTCCCACTCGTTAACCAAACGTCCTATATATATGCATATATATGCGGTAGTTTAAGAATAATCACAATAGTGATAAAAAATTGCAGTTTGTTGTCCTAGAGCGTTTACATCGTGTTACGCTGACATGTTAGCATAAATAGGCTATAATTATTTTACTACTGGACGATGGAAAATAGCGCGCAAATAATGTCCTGCTCGATGTTGTAATCAAAACCAGAAACGGGCTCATGGGTTACGCAATGACACGACCAGGAAGAATTTCAACCGATTAGATTCACTAGCAGACAATAGGTTTTGTTGACGACTTTTGCAAAGGATCTATCATCGCATTGAAGCTCGTCCACATAAACGCACATATCCGACTGAGTTGACACGATGCTCGAGTATAGGACAGTGCCCGATTCAAACAGGACCATGATGGTCAATGAATTTCGACATAGACCCAAAGACAATGGATCTCTATGTAGAGATCCATCTAAAAAGGACGTGTGCAACAACCGAACGAGCTCTAAGCCACCAACCCATTGACGTCCATTCGTTTCTACTTTCAGTTTCTGCGCATTTTACATTTAGCAACATGTCGAACGCAAACTCTCTGATTGTAGTTGCAGATCCCCTAGCTCTAATGGTTAGAGTCTAGATTAGTGGGAATAAATTTATCATGCAGCTGTCAAGCTCAAGTTGGGGCTAAGGCTTTCGTATCTTCAATCGTAGAACAGCAGGTAGCGTACGAAGTTACTTACGTTTCTATTTTTTTAAACGTACGCGCAGATCCAGTTAGTGAAGTTCTTGGACCTGACCTGTGAACTGTTTCACTTGGCTTTACATCAAGCGAAAGCGGACGAATTAAGCTTTGACGATATCGTTTTAATTTAAGAAATTATACTATAAGCTACCGAACAAAATAAGCCAGTTACACGTAATGGAGATGACGAGTCGGATCTGTCCATTATTAGTAAATGCTGTCTTGGAGGAGAACTATTCGGTGAGATATTTGAGGTAAATCGCGAAGAAAAATTTACATGGTCTATTTGGCCTTCCTTAAATAAAATGATTAAAACGAAATTTCCATGCGTTTAGATGGGGCTAACAGTTGTGGATATCATAGGGCTGGTATGGTACCGTGCTACTTCTATAAAGCAAAATTAATTTACGCACCGAAAATAATTACTGTTTATATAGTAACATATTAACAACTGAAAATATGGTGATATTGAAATATATGTACGGTTGCGTTCGGTAACATTTGCCTATTGGTTTTACGATTTTTGTATGAGCAGGATACACTGGTATTTAAAGATACCTATACTTATACTTTATGGGCTCTTTTTTCTAGCAGGTTGACAGGCGTCTTCACTCAAACGAGTTTCATCCCGACGAGTACCGTCACGCTGAATATTTTGTCACCTCACGTCGACAGACGCAGCCTTTTCAGAATGAGCGCAGCGTGGTAAAGCCCGACGACGTTGTGTATCAGCGGACGATGATTCGAAACCCTGAAGACGCGTTTACGGCCACGATCCAGACGGACTTCCAGTGCCCAAGGGGGCGCCCGGGCTACTACGCCGACGTACAAAACGGATGTCGGGTGTTCCACATTTGTCACCAGTATACAATGCCCAACGGAGAACCCCACTCCATTCGGTATTCGCAGCTTTGTCCTCCTGGTACGTGCAAAGTATATTCTACGTATAAAATTTTGTAGAAACATTTAACTTGCGCCCCAACGGCAGCTAAACGCAGCTTTATAGATGCGCTATCAATCGGCTTTGTTTTCTGTGGGCTCTCTTATAAATTTCTAGCTCTAATAGCCTCCCTTACATAGTTTTTGTTTTACATATCAGCTGATAACACCGCACAAATATACAAACAATAAATGGTTAAATTTACCAGATCCTTCGCCTTGAGGTTTTTGAGGCAAAGCGTTCATATTTTAGTGACTATTTTAGTGATGGTCCTTTCATCCGTGGCTGCATTTCTCGAACCTTGTTTAGCTTTTCCCTAGCTGCCTGCTTTCTGATGAGACACATCATCCCTTATTGCTCCTTTATAATATCTGTATATCGCTGCCTAAACTTTATTTCTAGCCGAACCTAATAATGTTAATGCTAGTTAAGTGCACAAGAAACTCTGTAGACGGGGTCAGGATAGAAGACACAAGACCAACCGTTGTGGCTATTGCATTAGTGTACGATCTTCTGTTAAACTCTATCTTGCTCTAGCTATGCCTAACTTGACGTCGCTTGCCGTTTCCGATAACAAGGATTAAATATTTGTGTATCTACACATATGTCATATATAGATACTTACATATTATAGTGTTCAAGATGTAAGGATAGAACCCGGTCGGCTGGTCCTTAGCATCACGGACCCGGTGGCGTTGTGTGTTCAGCGCTCCTACGCAACAAAGCTAACAGTATAGACAGAATTGCGGAGATTCTTTAAGACACTGGCGATATTTCTATAACTGATTATTCTATACACAGCTTCCGCTGATTGAATCCTGCTAAATACTGCCGCCGGTCCCAGTAGCGGCTGGGGCGGTAACGAAGCCGGTTATCATAATCCAGTTTAGCGTAAGTCGGGTATCCGAATATGGATGAATATGGACATCAGCACAATGAGTTAAAATAAGTTCGTTGTTATAATTTTCTACCAGTTTATACAGTCAAAGTGGTCTTTTGACACATCAAATCGCTAAGGACATGTCTTGAAAGAAAGGGCCGTTTCCTACAAAAGAAGAAATTAAGGCCGTACGCTAACAACGTGTAAAAACAGGTTTTCCATAATTATGTCCAAGGAATTAGAAATTTAAAAGTTACGACGCTATCCCGACTAAACGTCAAAAATCAAAAACCTATATTTAGATGTTGTCGGCCTTGCTCGTTCTAGACCTTCCTGAAATCAGGTAGGCTGTGTATTGAGGTCCAGAAAGGCTACTAGGTTCGAAACGCGTTCAGCTGTATCAGATAGAGGAGAAAACACAAATATTGTTGTAGTAGAAGCGGCAGGCCAAACAACAGCAATGGCGACTGCGGCGGTCTAGCTCACGACGCACAGAATAATATCATCTAATATTGAAACGTCAACATATATCAGAAAGAGGACGCCGCTTTACCCCGGTAAATTCAACGCAAGTGGTATTCTTCCAGTGTATACGTTATTAAGTAGTCAAATTTTAGAGATTTATGAAGGTATAAACAGGTGTTTGTAAGGCACAAGTGGATTTATGGTAGCCTGGCCAAAACCGGGAAATTCATGAAGACAGGTGACTATTGCACGCAGAATTCGCTGCTCTTACTGCGTGAACAGGTCGTTAGAGCCCCTTTAGGCACAGCGTCAAGGATTTGCTTCCACTAGAAAATAACAACTGGGCTGGGCTTTGGTGGACTTATTTTGGATTTCTCCAATAGACTTACAAAACGTCATTGTATATTGCCATATGCTATATTTTGTGGGGTTAACCCACTCAAGCTCATGTTTTGACCTTTTTCTTATTCGCTAAAAAGAGTTCTAATTTTATATTAATCATGCCCCCTTTACTAGTTGGCAACAAGAATCAGGTTTTTAAAAGAGTTATTAAGAATTGACGTTGTGCTCGTAAAGTTAAAGGATCTAATTCAACTAATTACTTTAACACGTTTCATATTATAACTAGCTGTTCCAGCAATAATTTGTAGAGCCCTTCGTAAACACGTGTTGCAGGCTATAATCTTCCCTTAATAAATCTCCTTTTCAAATATCATTGGCAGCAACGTTGGCCAAATCTGCGGTTATTTATATTTTGACTTTGTGAGGTTTTAAAGAATTGTGTAACTTTATATCATTATCAAATCGCACGCAAAGATATTATTTACGCAACGTATCTATCCCGTTGCTGTCATCAGCATGAAGTGGAGTCCTGAGTCTTGTGTTCACAAGGCCGACTGAGAGTGAGCATCCCTACGTTTCAAGATAACGTTTCTGTGAAGATTCAAAAAATTCTGTTAGTTGGGCATAATATATTCGATCTGCAGTCTAGAACTCTGAAGAAAAATATTGACTGTGTTTGAACCACACGCGCCAGGAGTTCGCCCCTTCTGAAAATCGGTGCTTGCCCGATCCCCATCATCGTTCCAGGGGGTTACTTGTGCATGACGAGCGCGACAGAAGTATCCATCTAGTCGCTCTATTCGCTGTGCAAATTTGCTACAAACATTTGAACGTATAGTGAAGTCTAAAGGCCGAAAAGAAGCTATTGTGTATACAGTACGTAAAGTCAACAATAATAATGATAATAGTAAAGACGTTATCAAGCGACACACAATGTAAACACAATGTAAAAGTGACAACAATTAGAGACCAACGGATGAAACAAACCGCCTTGTGTATAATCGTTCGTGTTGAATAATGATCTTCTTTGAAAAATCAATCGAGAATGTAAGTAACGTAGTTTCTTCAGCAATGCAGAATAAAATTTGACTGATGTGCTTGATCAGTGTGACAAGCTTTTCCACGGCAGTAGACAAAGGAGGGCGTCAAACTAACATTACGTCCATTCAATAGTCATAGCCAAGATGAATATTAAATAAAATGAAAAACTCTAATAGAGTTTTCACGGGTTAAAACGATTGCCGGCTTCTATCCATGTTGTTTATCTCTTTTATGCGTGGTACACGACCTGTTAATTCTATTAGGCTTCTTTTACAAGAAAACCAAATCCTTATGAAAGATCGACGGAGCATTATGGGTGCGTGCCTTTATAATGTAAAATGATAAGCCTCCACCAAACGTGTTTTAGAGTTATTCCAGAAGATACAATTTGGGTCGTTTCCTGGCATTTTGTATATATGACGTCAGCATCGATGTTTAAATGCCGAGATCCCTACGAATTCACTTTCCGATTATTCCTATGTACTCTATTTTTCAACGGACTCTTGGTATATCCGCCTATTCCCTCTCCTTCTTATATACCAACTCGATACTTACCCAAAAGCTTACATTGGATTTTAACACGAATCTAATTCTCGCAATAATGTTTTAGGAACTATCTTCGATCAGGTGACGCTGACCTGCAACTTCATCTGGGCAGCTGTTTCATGCGAGTCGGCAAACCAGTTCTTTTACATAAACTCGAACCTATACCTACCCGACAGGCATTTCATTTCAGATGCCGATGTTGAAAGAGCCCGTTCTCTCAATCCGTCTAGTTACAGGTCAGCCGAATACGCAATTATTAAATAACTTGTAATATGAACTGAAAAATTAATTATAGAGCTCATGGGCTAGTTCATTTGCACTGGGCCCATAACGGTGAACTCCGGTGATGGCCCCCTTTCGTCCATAATTTTGCCCTCTCGATTATGCTTTACCTTTCTTGACCTATGTACGGTACCGTAAAGAAAGTCAATTGTTGTTCCTCTATGTCATTTTACTGAAGACGTCAAAATGCCATGTACATTTGTTTGATAATTCCATGCACATCATGTATATATACGCTCTCCATGCATGTACCGCTAATTTATCAATTCCCAGTAGATGAAAAATAGGTTATAACTAAATATGTACGTTTTAACTAAAGCGAAGCAACGTCGCTTCGAGAAATAAGTTACAATGCACTATTACGCTGGTGGAAACAAATTAGACAGTAGCCCCTAAGAAATTGCTATCATTCTAACAAACTGTAAATTTATGTTATTTGTCTGAGGAATACTAGATAACATACAACCACGTATTTGAGTGGTACATAAAGCCTGTATTTTACCCACAGGGCATACAAACCAGAGCGTTATATGACTGATGTTCCGGCTGCTCCTGTTACGACGAGGACCACAACAACAATACCAAGGACAAACATTGCAAAAAGTGTTGCTCCGGCCACCTATAGTCCACCTCCTTCTCTTGCTCCACGCGCACCTGCCGTCAGAAGCTACGAGAAAACTCGGTATATCTCCCGACCAGCCATCATCTATAACATCCAGGGCGGCGGAAGGCGAATTCGCTACGACACGCATATGGCAACACATGATGGCGGTCACTCTGACATTTATGTCGAAAGGAATTTGGTTGAGCCGCTCACCACGACATATGTGCGGCCCGCATCCGTGCGCGAAAAGCTCGTGGCAGAATCACCTCGACATACTCAGAATGCGATCACTAGACCGTCGTCACACTCACGCCGTCACTACTACATACATCAGTCCGAGACCCCTAAGGTTAACACAGATACTGCGCAAGTGCAGTTCTCAACTTACGCGCCACATATGGGTTTTCTAGGTTTCATACCCGATCAACGTTACACGACAATCTCGTTAGCTAGCTATCCTTACAATCACAATTACACGTCTAGCGGAACGTTGCGTTCGTTCGATTCGCGCTATAAGTATAATCCAGTCCTCAATGCTCCTGTACATTCACCGAAGGAAGTGCCTAGGTTTGAAACGCTAGCGCCCGGGCGCATCCGACCTCTCGGCTACGTTAGTGAACACGACCCATCCTACGAGCGTAGTTACAAATTTAGCTTGCCGACCCAGCGGCCGCTCATTCCAGCTTCGGAATTTCCGGGCTTCCGACAGAGTGCCAAAGGCGTTTTCCGAAGCTCGCTTACTAGTCAGCGCCACGACCCTCACGCATATCACCACAGTCATCATCAGCATCATCATAATAATCTCTATGAACCCGGTCAGCGAGTTACGTCCGCTCCACTTCCGCCCACTACATTTTCCCAGCAGCGATCCCTGCCTGCCGTACCCGCGGTGCCGGTTACGACTGAAAAACGCCCGGCCTCTCCAAAAACTGAAGAAATTGTCGACGAAGTTCTTATCGATAAGGCACGCCGGCCAGTAGCGTTCACTCTGCAGCAGTATGACTCGCGTCACAACCGTCATTTTGAACGGCGCGTAAGATTGCCTGAAGAAACCATAGAGTTCGTTCAGGAGCCGGTAACAGTTCGCGGGGGTACACGCGTGAAGACGCTATTTTCCACTACCGCTGACGAAGTCCCATATCTTAAACGAACGGCTCGTTCGTATAAAGAATTCGTGGGGCCAATTTTTAAGGGTGCTTCTGCGATACCCGGCGTTATCCCTCAAGAATATCTCGAGTAAATAGACATGACCTTTTGACTAGCGCATGCAGATCAAGCATCTGCTTTATCTGTTTTCTAAGATCCCCATTACAGCCTGTTTCGCAGAAAACAATGAAATTCTACCTATGGTTAGCAACAGCCAAGCACGAACATTGATGGAAACACGAAGAAGGAGTCAGACATAAGGACCAAACAGCACAATGTTCCTCTAGTTGAGAGAGATTGAGCACAAGCTGGCTGACTAGTTCCCATGTATGTTGCCATCATCATCTATGCGATGCATATGGCTTTGATGCTACTTCTTTATTTCCTGGTCTTTCTTCCTTTCCATATTTCTCACGCTTCCCATCGTTATAGATGTTCATCCTAATCTCATTTTAAGCCTTGTTTCTCTCCGGTTTGCATCCTCTCATTCTCCCTCTCTCGTTTCCTATAGTTCTTATGCGTTTAATTTTCCTTATACTTGTCAAACTATTCCTTCTACGATAAACTAGACGCCCTTCTTCGAGCAACTGCAAACTCAGTCTATTTGCTCATCGATAAAGCAGGCGCACACCGCGCCCCAACGCACCGTATTCCATGTCTTGCTTTTTCCAGCTCCAACGTAGGCAAACGTTCCTTTCTGCTCTTCTTTGACAAACACACACACATTGGCCTTGTTGTAACATACAAGCCCGTACTGGCTTTAAGAGGAAGGTTAGAAGAAACCGTCTGCCCTGGCAGCCCGCCACCATCTTTTCGGTAAATTTGTTTCATCAATCCTCATTACTGAAGTTCCTTCTATAAAGCTGGCGTCTCTTATGTAAGGACTCTGCTTCTATTTAGAAGCACTTTTCCTTTTCTGCTTCTTTTTTCTCCTTGTCCTCGATTTGCTTTTGCCTTCGCCGTCAAACGCTGTTAATTCACCTTTGGCGTTTGTCGGCAGTGACGAGGGCACGAAGTGCCGAGTTACACGACAAAGCGATCCTGAGGCGGGCTGAATTCTAAAGGTAACGGAATGATGCCTGCGATAGCTGCGAAGGCGGATCGACGACTTCACTGAGGAGTCGAAATGACGTAACAGTGCTGCTAGAATGATTATAAAAGCCTGCGCGACCAACATTTATTTGTATCTCACTCATCTACCGTTCATCAGATTCCATGGCGGGAAGACTTTTTAAGCATCATGTCAGATTGTTACTTGTTGTTGGTTCCGGTTCGGGAGACAGCCCACATTCACATTGCGTTTGTACCTGTCATTGTTCTAACTAAATGTTACTGTATATTTATTTTCTGTTATAATATGAGTAATAAATGGTAGCTCGTGTATGAAATACTGTCTCTAGTGGATTCTTTCTTTGGAATTAACGCTTTGAATCTATGAGTGTTGAGAATTACCCCAAGGTGTCTGTAGTCAATGAATTATAATCAAAAGCAAAATAAGACCCATTAGTGTCTCTAATAGAAAGGCTAGCTTTTTAGAACCATTATGCTCCGCTGTCACTTTGCGTTAACCACATCTACCTAAAAAATAAAAAAAGAGCCTAATTTTTAAATATAATTATCAGTTAAAAAATAATTAAGGCCAATACAGTATGATCGTTATAAAGCTATGCAGCTTCGATACTGTATTTGTCAATAAAAATAAATTATCAGACAAATTCGAGTGAATTAAAAGCAATATATTGCTAGATATGAGACTCAGTTATAGCATACAGATTACAGAGATACCCGAAAAGGCCGAAATTGAACTTAGTATACTAGAACGTATTACCCGATATTTATTTCTTAGCTCGATAGTACGAGCAACGTATGAGATATATGAGTACTAACAGCTCACAAATATAAGAAGGGGTTATATGGTATTTTAATTGCCTTGGAAGGGATTGCGACTTTGGCTTCTTCTATACCGCTGGCCTCACTTTTCAACCTGTTTTGTAGCGTTAATCATTCTAATGACTGAGGAGTGGGCTAGGAAAAACATCCGTTCCTCGTCGTACGGAGACTTAGGAAAAGTTGCAGACTTGATTAACTTAGGTACGCCCTTTCGAACATCGTTGTGATAATGACGCGTAGCGTTAGACGATCTACGCAATTATAAAGCAAGTGGCACAATTGGCTGCATCTTTTTTAAACAGATGGGACGGAACCGCTCCGCCTTTTAAATGGATAATGTTCCAATACGGTGGAAAGCTCTTCAGTGTTTGAATATCCATTGCTGTGACCCATAGAAAATGACATTACAGTTTAAAAGCCGCACACGAATATATTCGAGCGCTGAGCATTCGAGAATTGGGTGAGACAGATGAAAGGCATATTAAAAACCTATATATGTACATTATTTTGTCAATCTACAAACAAACGTCTTCTATCATGCGCATGCAACATATTCGTACTACGTTTATAGGGGATGATTTGTGGCATGGAAGAAGTTCTTCACATGCACATCGGAGTATCGATACGAAACACGGCAAAAGCCGCAACGAAAAAAAACATCCCGATAATTTTTCTGAATGTTACGTGGCACGGAAAACTGACTGTCCTTCCATATTGGCTACAGTCAATATTTTTTCAAGAAATAGATTTATGCGAGGTGGAATTAAATCAAGCTGAATATTTTTCACTTAAATCATCACTGTAACAGTAGGCCCCAATGTAACTAAGTAAGTAACTCAAAGGTAACTGTGAGATGTATAAGTATTTCTCGATGAATGTTAAAAAAGCGCCAGTACACATAAAAAAAAAAAAAAAACTTAAATACAGATGTTTTAAATATAAATTTTACTTTATTTGGTGCACCAATCAAGGGTGTATCACGGTCACGCCAGTGTAGGACCGTTAAAGGAAATTTGTTATCGTCAAATAATGAGGTTTTTAAATCGGAAAGTCAACGTCGTAGAAAATGCAAATGCTGGTATAATCCACCGAAGGGCCACTTAGCGAGACAACAGTTCATTGCTAGTGCGATCCACTGGAGTCGTTGAAAGCAAGCAGAAGACGACTAAACTTAAAGACTTTATACTGAAGTACTAGTTTCTACAGCCAGTTGACTTCTTACTGTTTTTCAGCAATCGTAACAAATTTTCTGACCTATTAATTAGCTATAGATATCAATTAACAGTGAAAAATTGTATTCACCAAGCTTGAGTTATCGGTGGAATAATAGCCAATCGTGTGGCAAACCGTATACATTTCATTTCCGTCCTATTTTCATAATTTCATTGTAGGACAGTAAACCCCAGATGTATTCTCAACTTTTCGAAGAGCTGCAAGGCCAGGATCGTTTGTTCAGGCTCTGTTAAATAACCTATACAGCGGGTAGAAACTTCGGGTCTGAGCGGCGCAGTGCCTTTAAACGCCTTTGAAACACCTCTAAATTCGAATGTTGAAAATAATATATTACTAAATATTATACTGGCACAGAAAATGTAAATCTGCTGGCTCAAATTTGGAAACGTTTTGCCCCGGTTAACTTGAAAATCACTATATTCAGAGTTTATTTTTGTTGTTTGCCACGTTCGTCTATATATACTATTAGCATACATTTTGTATAATGGTACAGGCATGTTTTTTAATACAGATTACTCTAATAGGCAACGACCTTAAGCTGACTTGTCCATTCGCTATTCAAAACCAACGCTAGCTGAGTATGCATGCGGAAAAATATCTATATACACCTGATACATATTAATAAGACAGCGTCATTGGCCAGAAGTATCCTGTATTAGCAACTTTTTTTTTCTTTTACATGCAGATATAAGGAATTGCTCTAATTTCTTTCACTTTAGTTTGCCATTCTGCTACCGAAGTGGAGCTCTGACAACTGAGTCGTTGCAGACATAATAGAAATCCACTATTGCTTTAAATTGTTACAACACCCAGTAATAAAGTCTGCTTTTCACCGACATGACCATAGCGCAATAGCCGTACTTGTTACGTGTGCTATTGCGCTAGCTTGGCTCGGTAAGTCATTAACACGTCTTTTTGTTTGTATCAATAATAAAATACTTCTTTACGATTAATATGTCCTCAAAATTTCAGCTGGTAGGACCAAAAGGAAACACTTATCAGCTAATAGTGCTGATGTACATGTAGCAACATTGCCTATTGGTGGTCCTTATCGAAATTATTTTACATCAGCAGGTTTTTCTTCCGCGTGTAGTAGAACATCTCGTTATTGAGCCTTGTTATTTCATTTAACCAGTGAAATTCGCAAGTAATTTACTCATTATTCTTTAGAGTTACATAACGACTAACGAAAACTGTATAAGTAACTTTAGTTAGCTTTACTAGCGAGTTGTAGGCATCAACAACGACTCCTTCATCCTCAAGTCTTTCCTAAAATGCAAGGCTGTAAATTTACTTGGCTATCCTCAAGTGACTTTCCTAGGACTATGAGTATATCGGGGTAAGACATAAGCAAAGGCGGCCATACATTCCATCTTTGAAACTGTAGGAATCGAAATTGGCCAACGAAACGAAGATAGTTATTCGCAGTCCATTTGTGTATTCCGTGCATAAGAATTCACGCTTGAACTTTGTTTCAAAGATAAGGTCACGAGACCTTATCGTTAACTCGGCGAAATATATAGAAATTATCTCCTAGCGGCTGGTGGTGATAGACAAGGTCTACGCGTAAAAACGCACGCCGCCATTTCGACTGCTGAATTGCTTTCAAATAGACAAAATTTTCTACTTTCCTATTTGCCGCAATCTTTGATTGGAGAGTTATACAAGGAAAACTATCTGACTGATAGAAAATATCGCAGTACTGAGTTACACTCAGCTAGCCATATGTCAACCATTATTTGTCTAAACAAAAAGACCTTGCTTTCAAATACTTAGATACATTTTCGGGATTTGTTGCACATTAGATCTAAATATTTATCATAGGCGAAACCATCTCTGTGTTACATGTTTTTAATAGCTACATTGAACATTTTCGAAAATGTTCCAGCCTTTTGAGTTATACTCCGGGAGCTTTGACGAATCACATAGTTACAATGCTACAGTTGGTTTGAGCAAATTTCTATTCAAAAGGCCACAAGTTCTATTCTACAATCAAGAACAAATGTAAATCCAACAATGGAAGCCCTAGTACATACAATATTTGCAAATCCCCATTAACAATGCTATGTACATATGGCATAGAGAATGCCGTCTCACAGTCTCTCTCTCTTTGCGAGCTCCTCACCTGTAACAATGAACTATGCAAGCGCGCTAACTTTGAGAAAAATGTCCGATACACATTCAGGGCATAGAGAAACGATGGGTAGCTGTAACAGCAAGAGCCCATTTCAACGATGGGGGTTGTTTGAGTCCGACCACGACATTGAAGCAGAAACTCAATAATAGGCTGTGGTACTAGTAACGCTGTCGTTTCGGTAGGACTGCAGCTGCTGCTGGTTTTTCCGAAAGCGAATAATGGAACGACAGCCACCTTACAGAGCTTTTTGGTAGCAGCAGTAGGACCTTGTGCCTAGTCAGCCAGCGTCAATGCGCTAGCCCCTCTTTAGGCTTAACGTCGCCGTCTTCCCATTCAAAAGCCGGCCATTCCCTGCGGCGCAAGAGAAGTCAACATAGCGTCTCGTTGCTTAAAGATATAATATCGTTCTCGCCGTCAGAGGAAAGGAGGAGGCAGACATTTTCTGCGCATTTTTTGGAAATGCTGTACTACTAGGATTTTGTGACGACAATGACGATTCTGAGCACCATAAACGAAGCGAAGGTGGCGACAGACCTCGAGTCACCTAACTCCTGAGCAGGCATGTACTTACGAAGAATGACAGACAAGAAAACAGCATAACCACATAAAGAGTTTCTTAAAAACCACACCAACTTGAATCCAATCGCTTGCTGACCGTATCCCTCGTAGATGCTCTATGTTTCCAAAGGCCGAAGCCGATAATGTGTGAGGTACGAAATTAAGCTATCAGTTGAATAAAGGGTTAGCCTCTATCGTCATGAAATGATGTGGGATCATGTGAACATTGTTCTTTCTGCTTCTGCCCTTTTCCGTTTGTTCTTTCAAAGTAACTTCTAATTCAATGGTGAAAGAAATGTCTTAACCATGCGGAAACCGCGGTGGTGTAGTTAAGTCATCGAGTACGGCGGTACAATGAGGCCCATGTCATTGTGGGCTCCATACAAGTTCGAGTACTCGCGCAGCCTAAACGCTATTCGAGAAAGACAAGCAAACAGTGACAAGAAAGAAAGGAAGGAAAGACGTCCTGCTTCAACGCACGCTACTTTCTTCTCTAACCTCACACTAAATTTATCATTGTTGATAAGACCTAATGGCTTCCCTATCAGTTTCTAG